GGAAGACTGTAAAAGCTGTCTTCATACAAAGACTAAAAAGCTACATCTGCCCCTCTGTAGATGTCAGGCTCTTGGCCACCATCACCATTTTGCCTTGGAACTTTCCTAGCAGGAGCCTGGGTAATCTGCCTCAGTAACCCACAGAATAAATGTGCACATGATAGCTGCAGCAGGAGCTGCTGTCTGGGAGGAGGGTGGCATGGGGAGGGGTGTCATATGTCTTGCCCAAATAATCTGTCACTTACCTTTAATTGGGTGTCCACTTGCCTGAATCCCACAGCTGAGACCATGGCTTTGAATTCAGCTGTGGATTCTACTTGTGCATGTGATTTTGACTCTAAAACCATATAGAGTTTGGCTCTTGATAAAACCAATTCTTTCTTTGTCCATAGGTTTAAGTCATGACATACTTCTCTGATAACATGTAGGAAACTTATTCCTCAACAACAGTTAAGGAACTGAGATAGTTTCTTGCATGTAAAAGTCATACCAACAGCATGTAAATGCAAGTATACTGGTGTGTTTGAAAATGAGTCCAAAACCAATCACATCTGTGGATGGACATGTGGGAGTGCTGGAGTATATTTTAAAGGTGATTGAAGCATGTTTGCATTGCTTCCAATTGCATAAATAATATCAGTTTAAAAATGCACATCTTTCATTTTCATATTAATTATTACAACTGACAGCTTGTGAAATTTGGCAGACTGGACTGAGTCAACGTTGCCATCAGTGTAAATTTCATTAATGAAGAATTGACAAAACAGACCCCCCGCCTTACCCCAAAAAAATAAAAGGAAAAAAAAAAAAAAAAAAGTGAGCAAGGAACTCATTTCTTGCTGTTAAAAAATATTGTGAAGGTAAAAGTCAAGGTTAGCTTTAGACCTCACAAAGCCCCAAGTAAGTTACAAAATGATTGCCTATTTCAGAATGATCCAGCCTTTTACTGTCAGTTAGCAATGCTACCTGCCTTCTGTCTTGCTGTTGATTCCAAACTTCACCAATCAAAACCTTTCCATGTTAGTAAAGAAACTATGGTGCTTTGTGTTCATAAGCACCATGGAGTGAGTCTGTCTATGGATATCTGGCATAGAATAAATGCCCCATGTTCCTTTGATGATTGGGAATTTGAGATGCCAATATCAGACTTTAAGTAGCTTTTTTTTTTGCCTGTCACACCGGCAAAATCACACAGATTTCGTTCATGCAAGTCTCTGAAATAGTGGAAGCAGAAGAAAGGGAATTTTGTAAATTTGTACATATTCCCCCTGAAGAGAAGGCTGAAATTTTCATTTTGTTCATTTCACTGGTTTAATTTATGTTATACTGGGGAGGGAGGGGGAAAGGGGGGGATAGGAGGAGGAAAAAGAAGAAATACTTGTGTTGCAATGCTAATGAGCACATTTACAAGGCCCTGCCAGAAACTGTGTGCTTCAGCTTGCTTTTATTAGCCATTTTGGAAGATGTCTTAGTTGCAGTTGCACAAAAAGCATTGTCAGTGCTTTTATATTTTCTCATTTAGAATGCTATGACATTATTTGGAGAAAGACTAGTTTTGCAGCACATAAGCTAGTATCAGTATTGTATAATATAGCAGCTAGACTCATTTTGCAGTGTGATTACAAAACCCATCACAGTGAATTATACTGCAAGTTAAATTGGTTTCCACCTTCTTCAAGACCAGAACATTATCTTGCACAAATAGTGTACAAATGTAGAAATAATAACAAGTCCAACTTATCTGAATGATAAACTACAGAAAGCTTCCACTGTTCACTCTGTCAGTACTCTCTATCTGCTGCCAATGACACCTGCTACATTCTGAAAATCCTGAAAATGGTGAATACTCCCACATTTTTTATTTATTAAGTGTCAGTTTAACAGGACAGACTGCCACTGCTAAAACCTCTCCAAATCTGAAAATTATTTTTTGAGTAATCTCTTTCTTTTCACTTCTTTTGATCGGAAATACTCATGAACATGTGATGCTACTCTACATTCTTATTCTTGCTATTAACAGTACTATCATTGACTAGATTTTCTTGCATCATTCATTTGAAATACAGAAGCAGTCCTTTGGTATAAGTAATCCAGACTATGTACACTGTAAATCCTCATACGATAGATTTTTGGTTTGCTTCCAATCTCTCTCTCTCTCTCTCTCTCTCTTTTTTTTTTTTTTTTTTTTTTTTTTACGCAGCGCTTAAAATCCCTTAAGTGACAATAGTGTCCTGTGACTACATCTGAAAAGCAAGCTACTTGCATACAGTTGTGTTTTGTTAGAAACTCAAATAGGGTAATATGAGAGAGTGAAGACAGCTTGGTGAATTTAACTGCTCTGGCTTACTTGCTTGCTTCCAGTTACTGAACACACCAACTGAAACAAGCTGAAAAAGAGCTGTGTGGTCTTAATGAACTTCCTAACATTAACACTGTACTATAGCTCAAGATAGGTGAACTCTTAGAGACACAGGGAAAAGGAGAGAAACAGTCAAATAGCTCAATGAAGATTGAAGCTATAACCCAAGAAAATCAGATACAGAAACAGAGGACCTGGCAGAGTTTCCTATAGCTGGACAGATCTTGGAGAAACTTTGTGAAACTGTCTATTCATTTCTAGAATTCAATTTCAATGCAGGCTGTTAAAAAATAATAATAATAATAAAAGGCACACAAATATGTAGGTATATATCACTGCATTCATATAGTATAGTTGGTTTATTTTTCTCTCTGTATTAAAATCAGCAGATCTATCTCTAGCTGAGCTGTACAAATAAAGATACTTAGAACATACTATTTTGCAGACATTCTGTCTGTTCTCCAGATTGAGAATTGTTACTGCTGCTCTGAGACATAGTTGATGGTATTTAGAGTTGCCATAGTGTTAAATGCTTCTTCTGTGATAAGCAACTGCTGATTTAAATGAAAATCTTCATCCATTTTCTCTGCTGCATATTTCACAGTCATTTCAAATTCATCATAGACAAAAAGCTATAAATGATACCAGGTAAAAAATACATTATATCTAAATGAGCTTTCCGTGATTTGGCTTCAAGGTTACAGCACAAAAACACCCACTGCTTCAGCTACTCTAAAGGACAGGACATGTGGAAGAACTTTAGTCACCTGAGTTATAATTACTAAAAATGTACACATTCACTTTGCAGTACTTCCATAGTGAAATGCCTGAGCTGAATTTCTGACCTGGATAATGTCCAGGCCCAAAATGTGTAATTTCAGCTTTTATGTGTGGGATGTTTGACTTTAGCAGTTCTGACAAACGAGTGTGAGACATAGCTAGGTGAAGGCAAGCCAGAATCAATGGGACACTAAGGCACTTGGCACTTGTAAAAGATTTTGAGAATTTAATTCTCAAATTTATCAGTATTAATAATTCTAATTTAATGCATTTTCCTTGTCACTTACAATGAGTCAATTGCTAATTAAATGTTGTTGAAAAAGATGAATTACCATTTTAACATGCTTAAAAAGAATGTTGCTAATATGTCTAAATCTAGATGTGAAATGTAGAATGATATGATTCTAATCCCCCTAAATACCATTGTTATCCAAAACAATTTTACACTGAATTAATTTCATTGTCAAAAAAGGAGCAAGTACTGGAAAAAATGAATGATCGACATTTAACCTTCTAATATGTATTGCTATAAATTTTATATTCAAATTACACTGAATTAGTTTGCAGAATGAATCATTTCCCTTCGGTGGGGTAGCAACGAATTTAAAAAATAGCTTTTTGCTATTGGTGGATCTCATAAATTCATTACATTTTTTATCCCATGTGCATTGTAGATATATTCATATTTAGAGCCTGTACATATGCACAATTTAAAGCTATGCCCACCAGTAGTAGCTACCATCTCTGTTTGACTGACAATGATGAGATTTCTGTCATGCTTTGCCTCTTCCACAGTGCCAGTGATGGGATTTTTTTCTCTGAAAATCTTATTACTGGATGTGCTGTCGTGGTCTCAGATGGAACTTTCAATCAAAAAGGCAATCAGAAGGTTATCCATTTGTGAGTTTTCCTACAAAGGAGCTTTGCAAAACTCTACAGTGTATGCTATAACTCATAGTCAGAGCTACTTGTCCTAAATGCTTCTATGACTATAGACAATAATGTGATATCTCACAGCACCTTCCGTTGCTCCCAGGCTTGTGATGGACTAGACTAGAAATTGGCTCAGTGTAAATTTCAAATCAGACTTTTGCATTTACGCTACTATATGCTACCATGGCAATTCAGAACACCCTGGCACTTGGTACAAGATTAGTAAGAACATGTTCAGCTGCTGTTATACTCTCTTATATAAATATATTTGACTTCATTCAAGGAAATTTGGATTTGACTTGAGAAAATCATCTAAAGGATTCATCTAAGGATTGCTCCTTTTCTATCTTTAGATGACGTCACTGTTTAGGTTATAATATTACCTGAAGTGTTAGATAAAGTTATTCAGAGACAAAATTTTTGAATATAGTATAACTTAAATGATAGATCACTCTTTCAGTAAAATCTTTACAATATGTATAAGTAGTGGTGCTAACTTATTAATTGTCCACAAACTGCAGTCATTAAAATCAGCCATGCTGTAGATGAAGCAAAGTCGACGTTTCCATTTTGAATTCTAAATGTGTTAATATGTTTTTGTTTGCAGAATTAAAATTACTGAGGAACTTAAAAAGAAGGTATTGTTTTTACTAGTAATACTTGGGGAAAAAAAAAAAAAAGTTATTTTTCAGCATGGTGCAGTGAATTAGACACACATAACTCCTGTGGTCACAGGCTGCTGCATATCTAATTCTCCAAACACTATCAAAAAGTGCTTCAAACATTATTCTTTTTATTTTGATTGTATTCATCTAATAAATAAATGATTTTGGAGAAACCATATTCCTCCACAGATTATGAAGTTTTTCAGGGAGATTCCTTTCTGCAGTGTACAGGTAAAACTGAAAGGAAAGCAATAACAAGAAAAGTATTTATAAAAATATATTTCACAAAGTAGGAAACAATACAGGAGTTTCTCTGAATACAATACATGGAGTAAATAAACAAACAATAATATAGCATCAAAACAAAGTAGAAAATTAAAATGATTTGCATGTAATACATAGTTTTATTATACAATTGCTACTTCTAAATGGCAAGTTTGCATTACAAATTGAGTATGCTTGCAGCTTCTAGTGCTGTTCTTTCTCTGTGTGCAAGAGCCCTGGTGCATCACTATGAATATTATAGAAAAGAAATGCTAATAACATAAGCAGTAAAATTATGTACACACTGGTTCCTGCTCTAATACAGTGGAGAACTATAAGCATGTTTTTTACTGTACTGTGTTATGTGTGGATTTCTAAAAGTCTATAGTTTAAATATTCACATGAACCAGTTTACTTCCAGCTGTTTGTGCTTGTATTAAAAACACCAGGTACTAGATTTATGAAGAAGATATAAAACGGTCAAAAGTTTTTCTCTGGGAAAGTTTTATTCCTGCCAGCATTCTCTTAAAATTCAGCTACTGCAAATGGAGAGGTTACTGCTTTAACCTGCAACAATTTGTCCTTTTGCTTTTCAAAATGTACATGTATTAAACATTCATTATATATAGAAAAAAATTAATGGATATAATTTAGTTTTCTTTATAATCTTACTCTATAGATTATCAGTCTTAATAAATAAAAGCAGTAATGGACATCAATAAAATATTTATTTCAAAGATTAAACAAATAAATTCGATCTTTAGCAATAAAATCAGCAATTCTTTCATATATGCAAGTCCATCCCCTTTCACGGTTTTTTCTTTCCGTTCAGAAGACGAAGCACAGGATTGATCCTTCTTCTAGAAAAAGATCCTTTTGTAAAGCAAGGTTTTGTACCCCTGCATCTGAATCTCTGCACATTAGTAGTATTTATTACCCATCACTGGAATGGATTAAGAACATGTGAATATTTTAAGGCTTGACACAATATTTAAAGATGATATTCAGTCTGTGGTTACGTGGCCAACAATTACTGTATGTACAATGTATGGTCACTGCACAGTAGAAGCCAGTAAGGATTTACAATGCTATTTCTATTCAGCATTGCTAAGAAGACCAAAATATTGCTTTTAACATTTCTGTGGCGGGATCTTTGTTGGCAATGCAGAAATAAACCATTAGCTTTACACATACTGGCAGGAGCTACTGTTCAACAGCAAAATCCCTGCAAGTCCATTTTCTAAGAAAGCACCAATTTCTTTTCATTCTTTTCAATTCACTGAAGATAATCAAAGATCCAAATCTCCATCTTCAGAGTGGTCAAGTGAATATCAAATATCCAAAGACTTCTAGACACTCCACATACTTTACTTCACACTCCACAAGACTTAACCTCCTAACATATACTTTTTTTATTTGGTTCAACATTACAATGTAGTTGATTTTATAGATGACTGGCGCTAAACTTGCCTCTAAAACAAAAAGCCACATTAGTTTTAACTAACAGTAGTGGCCCTAGAATATTACATGATCATTAAGTCAACAGTGAAAAAGTTTGTAATCCACTGTCAAGTTTCTTTGTCACTTTCTCCAACTGAGTAAAGTTCTCCAAGTCTTTTAAAGCGAGGACCCCATTCACTGAGGTAGTCAAAATTCTGGTCTGAGTCTGATGCAGAAGACTCCAATGAGCTAAGGGAACCAGCCGCTGACCCTCTTCCTTCATAGCCATAAATCTGGATTGAGTCATATGGTGGAGCTGTGGGATCATTATCAGCTTCATGAAGCCTTACATTAATAAATTCATCAACATCAACACCATTGGGAACAGGTGCAAGACCCTGCCTGGGCATAAATTGAAGATCAGGCTTAATATCCTTACGAGGCAAAAATCCATTAATTCCATCTGGATTTTGCAAAGTTGCAATGTCAAAAGCCTCTGTATCTTCTTCTCCACCTCCTTCATCATCATACCGAATAATATTTTCCCTCACATCTTCATCATCTTTGATGATTAGGGGCTCATTCTTATGTCTTCTTAGTGTTACAAACAGCACCACAATGACTGCAAAGAAAGCATCACAGACTGATTAGGTAAAAAAATTCTAATCAAAGTGATACATGTTAAGCACGGTTAGGGATGATGATAATTTGCTTCTTGTGAAAATAAGGGGTAGAGAAAAAATTAAAAGTTTGTAACTTCAACCCCACTCAAGTGATAAAAATCTGATCAGAACCTCTGGTTAGTCCTCTAGTTTGGTATTATCAGCTCATATTTACATTTGAAGCTCAATTTTGTGCAAGCAATAAGATGTGTACTTACATCTTTGAATCCCAAATTTTGACAATTTTTCCCTTTGGAAAACCTACAGACGTAGGTTAAGTCAAGCTACCATCACTCACTGAACATTAGTTCATAATGATCTACACTAAGGATGGACTTTTCCAAAATTAGAGGATGCTTTTCTGAAAACAGAGCTCTAATGATGGATGGAAACCAGTGCTTCTTATAGAATTGAAAAGAGAATAAAACTGTAAGGAAGAAAAAAAAGATCTTAGATACATCAGTTTCATAATCATGGACAAATGCATAAAAAGTTCTAAGAAGGTTATACTTTGTTGTTTTTGAAGTTTAATGCTGAAATCCCAATTGCTAAAAGCAAAGACACAAAGTACTGAAACAGGCCTTCACTGTTCTTGACTTGACTGACTTGATATCATCTACAAATGTTGTATATTTAGTTAAAATATACAGTGTTTCTTATCTTGGAAAGCTGTAATACCTCTTATGCCATTACAATCGAGAATAAACTCATACAAGTCTTGAAGATACAACAAACCCATTTTTCATCTTGTGCAGTATACACTCTGTTCACGTTTCTACTTGACATACATGATGTGATTTTTGGTTTCATAATTGATACTTGTTTATTATGTGACTTATATGTAAAATTCCTTCAGAGTGAGACTTTGCTTTGTAAGTTGTTTTTTTTTTTTTTTTTTTTTTCTATTTTTTTTCAGTTCTTAGTACAGAAGAGACAGTTTTGACAAGCTTTTCAGTACTGCTATGTATCATATTGTATTAGATCATACATCCTTGTATGTGACTTCTTTGCTTACTTACAGCCACCTATGAATCAGAAAAATTTTGAACACCAGGCTGTGAAATCAATACGTACCTAGCAGCAAAATGATGCATGCTAATATTGCAATTAGGGCTCCCATGCTGAGTCCAATGGGAAGTACGTATGCTTCAACATTACAGGACTGGACAATTCCATCACTGCTGCAACCACAGACTCGAATAGTAAGTGTGCTAGTGCTGCTCATGGGAGGATTTCCACTATCACTTATTATGATTGGCAGTAGGTATACTTCTTGCTTCTGCCGGCTGAATCCACTGTGCTTTGCCAAAATGCTGAGAGTATTATCTGTAAGAGGGAAAATTTGCATTATTTTACCACATAACTGCTTTGTCTTGATACGTTCAGAAAAACCTCTACACAAACACGTATATGCTTCATTATATCCATCATACTGTCAGCGTGTGATAGAGAAATCCTTCCCCTTCCTGCCTGGCTTCCCATGCCCAAAAATGAATGACTGCAACATAGGCATTTTCTTGTGTCATTTGGAACGATCATAATGACAACTCCTCACATTCTTCTCTGCATACATCCCTATAGATGTCTTCCCATCACAATTCATCCGTATTTTTCAAGTCACACAGTCATAAAAATTCAACCAGGAAAACAAAAGAGAAATGATATGTTAAAGTAATCCTAACAAAGCACATTCATCAATTAAAGCAAATGTCCCATGCATTATAATCAGAAATTGCACAACGTTTCACTTTGCAACAAAATATTCTTCATTTTTATTAATAAGCAATATAAAGACAAAGGTAAAGCTGAATGTATTAAAAGTTGTAGGCCTAATTTTCAGTGACCTAAACATTTTGTAGGTCTCCACAACGTGATGAAAACAAATCAAATCAAAACAGAATGTATTTCTGTGAAAACAGCCAGAGGAAATGGGTCCAGGACATTTTTACCTCTGGACACATGCAGATTCTTAATTTTAGAAACTTTAGAAACTTATACAGGTGTCCTCACTGTGTGGTATCTTACCTAGACATAAAGTTACTCTCTATCTCTCTCTCTTATTACTCTCTATCTCTATCTCTCTATACTACTACCAACTACTACTTAACTGGTAACAGTGGTCAGAAGTATACAATTAGTACAGAGAAAAAAAAAAAAAAAGGTGAGAAGATGAGGGATTTGCACAATGTATATGTATGTATACTTGTTTTTACTTAAATGTGCTTGTCTTCTTTCTTCATAATGGTCTTACACCACTTCAGTAATGTATTAAGTTGAACTTACAGTCTGCCAACAGAGGCCCATTTAGCTACTTAAGCTTAGCCTTAGAGTTAAATACAGAAATGGCTGTGGCTGTGCCAGTATTAAGACTCAGTCAATTTACTGGCAAATACAGACATTTGCCTTTTCTATGTATATCAAACTGAACATTTGACTCATTAATTATAGATGTGTTTTTTGTCCTCTTCCTTTTTCTCATATACAGTTAAACTTCTCAAAATCACTCAGTTCTGTATGACCATTAGAATTATTAAAATATAATTACTTGAATAATTCCATACAATGTGGCATCTATACTTTAAATACTATTTTAAATACTATTAATTCTAATTGTTCACTTTAGAAAATTACTCTAAGAATAGAGTTGATTTTGCTTAGAGGGCAACCATATGAATTCTGTTGTGTTTAGTTGTAAGAATCTAAATCAGTCTTTTAATTTATGGGTAGTTTCTGAATCAAATTCCTGGGTCAATACTTGAGATTTTCTAGTGCCTTTAGGTATTTATAGATTCTAGCCATTTAACAGCATATTCCTTTCAAACACCAATAATGTTGCATGTACCAACATGCTTAGGTATAAATCACATTTAGTAAGAGTATCTAATATGCAAGACACTGATTTATTTACATTTATTGAGCTTAAAACAAAAAATAAGGTAGCTCGAGTGCAATGTGAGTGTGCATATACATAGAGAGACTGTAAGAAAGCTTTGTGTCTACTTTGACCTTTGTGCTGGTCAGGGACTCCCCTAGAAACACAAAATAGTTTATAGATATTTGTTTTGTACTGACTGTGATCATCAGTAACATTTCTGACAGTCCGCAGTATTTGTGCAGCATGTATTAATACCCCAACATAAAAGACACATGTATGCTCTGAAGAACTGGCAATGGACTACAAAAAACAGAGAAAGATGCAGAGAAGGGAGAAGGGGGAAACACTCATGAAGTTAATACTGTAAAGACATTTTTCACATCCAAAAAATACATTTTAAATGCAATATTTTACTCTCGATGTTCTCTTTAGGATGCATATTAGTAAGGAATAAAGGCTGTAACAGAACACAATGATTGCAGAACGTAATGAAAAAATTCTAAACTTTATCATGGCGTGAACTTATATCAAGTTACCAATGAGTGAGTAACCCCTATAGCTAATTTATTACTGCCATAGAACAAAAGATGAAAAAGGATAATTTCTTATGTAAAAACATGGGAGAATTGTCTCTTACAAAAGAAGACAGAAGGCTTGTTTTCTCACTCAGTGACTACTGAATTAAACTTCAAGCCTCTTTTGGAGCTCAGGGTTTTGATTCTGCATTCTTCCTGTATCCCTTCCATGGTGGAATCAACAACCAAGCATGCTTATGTATCCTAGAGACGTTCTTACTAAAACTTATATTGCAGGTTATGCAATGGTTTGAGAGTTTTTCATAGCACCTAGAATACATAATAAAGAAGTACCTATAAATCAACTACTTTGTAAAGCAGTATGCATATGAGCACTTCATAATTCCTTTGCAGAACAATAAGGTTTATTTATTTGTTTATTTATTCTTCAGCAATCCAGAGTTTCTATCTATTCAAGTTAGAAACTGTCACATCAAAACTGATAGCAGCTTGGAGCTAAATAAATAAGTCCAGTCCTTCCTTGTGCCCTTTTTAGAATTAAAGGAAACATATGTGTTTACTAAAGATAAGTTTCAGGTACAAGGCTCTTAAGAACTCTGACAACTCAGATAGGACCAACCTCCTCGATGATAACCAATTATATCTGCCACTTTGATGCAGTGGAAAAGGCAAGTATATTTCAAGCCAACAATTAGCACACCCTTAGAATTAAGCAAAAACTACACTCCTTCCTGCTGGTAGAATTTATCAGAGATTAAAACGCATACATATGAAAATTAAAACACTCCCAGTGTCATAAATGTTTTCTAGCTGTCACACAAGGAACGTTACATTATATTACATTAGAAAAATAATTTCGTTATCATAGAATCATAGAATATCCTGAGTTGGAAGGGACCCTTAAGGATCATCAAGTCCAACTCTTGACACCGCACAGGTCTACCCAAAAGTTCAGACCATGTGACTAAGCGCACAGTCCAATCTCTTCTTAAATTCAGACAGGCTCGGTGCAGTGACCACTTCCCTGGGGAGCCTGTTCCAGTGTGCAACCACCCTCTCTGTGAAGAACTTCCTCCTGATGTCAAGCCTAAACTTCCCCTGCCTCAGCTTAACCCCGTTCCCGCGGGTCCTGTCGCTAGTGTTAATGGAGAAAAGGTCTCCTGCCTCTCGACACCCCCTTACGAGGAAGTTGTAGACTGCGATGAGGTCTCCCCTCAGCCTCCTCTTCTCCAGGCTGAACAGGCCCAGTGCCCTCAGCCGTTCCTCGTACGTCTTCCCCTCCAGGCCTTTCACCATCTTCGTAGCCCTCCTCTGGACACTCTCCAACAGTTTCATGTCCTTTTTATACTGTGGTGCCCGGAACTGCACACAGTACTCAAGGTGAGGCCGCACCAGCGCAGAGTAGAGCGGGACAATCACCTCCCTCGACCTACTAGCGATGCCGTGCTTGATGCACCCCAGGACACGGTTGGCCCTCCTGGCTGCCAGGGCACACTGCTGGCTCATATTCAACTTGCTGTCTACCACGACCCCCAGATCCCTCTCTTCTAGGCTGCTCTCCAGCGTCTCATCGCCCAGTCTGTACGTGCAGCCAGGGTTTCCCCGTCCCAGGTGCAGGACCCGGCACTTGCTCTTATTGAACTTCATGCGGTTGGCAATCGCCCAGCTCTCCAACCTATCCAGATCCCTCTGCAAGGCCTTTCCACCCTCATTCGAGTCCACAACTCCTCCAAGTTTGGTGTCATCAGCAAACTTGCTCAAAATACCTTCTATTCCTACATCCAGATCGTTTATAAAAATATTGAAAAGTACCGGTCCTAAAATGGAGCCTTGAGGAACCCCACTAGTGACCGCCCGCCAGCCTGACGCAGCGCCATTCACCATAACCCTTTGGGCCCTGCCCGTTAGCCAATTGCTCACCCATCGTATGATGTTTTTATTTAGCTGTATGGTGGACATTTTGTCCAGTACGCTCCTATGGGAAACCATGTCAAAAGCCTTGCTGAAGTCCAAAAAAATCACATCAGCTGGTTTCCCTTGGTCCACCATACGGGTGATCTTATCATAAAAGGAAATCAGGTTAGTTAGGCAGGACCTACCCTTCACAAACCCATGCTGGCTGGGACCAATGACTGCTTTGTCCCCCAGGTGTGCCTCAATACGTTCGAGAACCATCTTCTCCATGATTTTACTAGGCACTGACGTGAGACTGACAGGCCTGTAATTGCTAGGGTCTTCTTTCTGACCCTTCTTGAAAATCGGCACAACATTTGCCAGCTTCCAGTCTACCGGGACCTCTCCAGACTCCCAGGATCGTTGAAAAATAATTGAGAGAGGTTCTGCAATGACGTCCGCCAGCTCTTTCAGCACCCGGGGATGAATCCCATCCAGACCCATGGACTTGTAGGGATCCAGGTGGAGTAGCAAATCCCGCACACGTTCAGGGTCGGTTGGGAGTTTGTCATCCCCACCGTCCCGGTCCTCCAGCTCAGGGCACCCTGGGTCCCAAAGCCCATCATCGGCATTGAAGACAGAGGCAAAGAAGGCGTTAAGCGTCTCTGCTTTGCCTATGTCATCGTCTGTGAGAAGACCTTCCCTATCAAGGAGCGGCCCTATGTATTCTTTAGTTCTCCTTTTTCCATTCACATATCTAAAAAAAAACTTTTTATTTTCTCTCACAGACACAGCCAGCTTCAACTCTAGGTGTGCTTTAGCCACACGAATTTTCTTCCTACAAACACGAACAGCATCCCTGTATTCTTTCCATGTCACCTGGCCCTCCTTCCAGTAACGAAACACTCTCTGTTTCTGCCTAATCTCCATCAGAATGTTCCTGGTCAGCCACGCCGGCCTCCTGCCACGCCTGCCTGACTTGCGGTATTTAGGAATTGCCTGATCTTGTGCTTCTAGGAGGC